TTTTATTCAATAATCAATGGTAGTTAATTAATTTATTTTATTACTAAAATCTATTGCTTATTTCTGATAATACTTGAGCATAATAATTATAAATTTTCTGATTGTATATTCTATGTTCAATAAAATGTAAATAAATTTTCTTTTGCATACTCGCTCAGTTAGTAATTCATAAAGTATTTATACATAAGAAAGATTGTTGGATTCGAGATGAACGAATATATCCAAACACCTTCCAAATTTTCCACTATAGCGATTTTCTTACTCTTCTTTCGACAGTCTCCTTCTTTGATTGCCTCGCTTCCTTCGCTCAGTTCCTAGCAAAACACGTTTAAACTCGCAATTATTTAAGGTAGTTCACGGTTTCGTACTGCAAAACAAGACCGCGGAGACAGAGACTAGTAGCGGGAAACTGGCGACTGTTGCTGTTACTTCTTGCTGATCCTATTTTATCGTGGTATATTGTTGCATGCTGTACTAATGTCATGCGGTTATGAAGGATAGAATGCTGTAACTTTAAGCGCGCTTTAACGATATCTTAACGATATCTTAAATTCATTACTTATCTTATCACGATAATATGACCCCCAAGATTAAGTCAATTAAAAAATTATAAAATTTTTTCTTCTACTAAAGAAGATACTGTAGAATTTCCCTGTTATATAAAATGTAATCATTAATAACGCTTAATTTGTAGTATTATATTTGCATACTCATTTTATAGAATAATTATAGTAATAAATATATAATTTGTGAAACAATTTGTATACTCATTATTATGTCGTAATAATTAATTAATAATTAATATATAATATATTAAAATAATATTTAGCCTTCATAATTGTTTTACATTTATGACTTTCATTTTTATCGTTCTACTATAACTCTACTTATATTGTGAGGATTAAGTATAAAGAGATTATTATTAAATGCAAAGTTAAATTTTTAACTTCTCGCTGCATATTGACTAAGTTGTGAGATTCGTGGTATTGGCATAGGCTGCAATTTATTTTTAATGAATACAACCATAGCTATCGTGGCCCCCAACTTAGTTTCTTGCTGATCAGCAGAAATTAGCATAGTCAATTTATGTTGGCCTATAAATAACATGTTTATCGTAATAATTTATGTGCATCGCGATGTATCCTATCGACATTTACGCGAACCGAATTTTAGGTCGGAAAAAGATGAATGTATTTTATCCCGCGTTGCGAAACACATATGATAATATTTTGACCAAACTGTACATGTATCATTGTAATTTTATCATATAAAGAAACCGCTAATCTTAAAAATACATTCCTTCTTGTTTTAAAATGCGAAATCTATTAACTATGCTTATTAATATGCTTCCAGATATGATTTCGTTGAAAGAAATATAATGAAAATTGGTAAAATAAATAGCTATTTTAATAAAATCGTTAAATATATAGCTTAAATTTGCATCGGCATGAATCGGGGATGAAGATAAAATCACGATATATTACTGTTTTTCACCGCATGCATCAGCAATTGATAAAATCAAATGTTGATCAAGATTTTATGCGTAAATCCTAATAAATTGAATATATGTTATACAAATTCGAAAACGTTGTGTAAGTTATTAAATATCTGTCATTTCATTGATATATATTTCTGATTCTAGAGCA